CGATGACATTGTATTGTTTCGTCAGAGATCTTGACGGCAAAGTCAAACAACATTTTGTCAGTCCACACATCCTGCAGACACTTGACGATTTGAGTACAGACTTCTGGTGTGGTCATGTTGGCAACAAACCTATTATGGATTTTAATGTATTGATTGTTACAAAGTGGACATTTATAACAATATATATGTATATATATATATATATATATATATATATATATATATATATATATATATATATATATATATATGTATGTATATATATATATTTATATATATATATATATATATATATATATATATATATATATATATATATATATATATATATATATATGTGTGTGTGTGTGTGTGTGTGTGTGTATGCTAAGGACGTGTTTTTATTCAATTAGTATCTGGTGGATCACTTCTTAAATGATTCCCGAAAACCAGTAGTTTGTCACAATAAGTTAAAGCGCCGTATAACTTCTTTTTAAAATTCCAAAGCTAAAAACAAATTTTAATTCTATATTTAAATTACAAATTGAATTTAAAATAAACCACAATTTTCCAATTGTTTGCAAAACATAACTGTTCTTATCGTTTCTAAAACTGATTATTTGCGCTGCTGGTCCATCTAGATTATCTACTTTAGTGCAAAGTATACGTAGCGCTGTTTAATTAATAAATCACAGGCATAACAACAGTTAACATAGAGATACTTTGGCTGTATAGCCTATGTATAGAGCTACAACGTACAGAGAAGACGGCAAACCCTTACATTAACAGCTCTATTTGCTATTTGTGTTACATTTGACGTTACGGTTATATATACCTTAGTAAATCTGTAGAACCATTCAACGTTGTATAAATATTAATAAATCAGAGGTAAACAAAGCGTTCATTACGCAGTATGAAAATAATCGTGCTTTATTAGTGTAAGACAGTTTTATCTGGAAAAAACTTAACGCGCGCAAGACTTTGGTGCGTATATATAGAAATATAATAGTTTTGTTTAGTTACACAAATTGACAACATAATAGAAATAATTAAACCTACAATCTTTTAAATTTTTATAATAATTAATAACAGAGACATATAATTAAATCAGTGGCGTCACATCACACCGTGTATTTGTTGTTTAAACACACCTGTGATTGTGGGTTCGTGAATACAAGAAACTGGATTTCCGTTTGCATAACTAGATAACTTTATTTAAACAGTAGAAATAATATGAACCCATTATTGAATGAGTGTACAGTAAGGACGCTAACTTCAATCAAGTAATACGTGACTAAATATTGTTTATATTCAACCGACCACTATCTGGCTCTGGCGCACTTTATAACCATGTGCTGTCCCGCTGTCGTATTTGAACTGTCATCGACCGCGTCCGCTAGTTAAATCGTCTGCACTGACAAAATCCAGTAGCAATTAATATGATTCGGGTGTAAGTCTTCGCCCCTGAGAGTGACTCACCAAACCTCTGGGGTTCGATTAAACCGTTGTTAAGAACCACTAAATAAATTGAGAGTAATCCTTCTTATCTATTATGTACCGCTGTTTACGTATCAGTTAATAAAGCGGAATGTCGCACAGCGCCCATGATCAGTGCGGCTCTGCGCATGTCCAAACATAGAGACACCCGAGGATTTAGACCACGGGTTCCCAACCTGGAGGTCGCGACCCCCCCTGGGGGTCGCGAAGGTCTTTCTGGGGGGTCGCCAACTGGTATACTAAACATTAGTAATTTGAAAAAAACAAAACATAAATATTTAGAAGAATTTTCGAAATTCGGCTTCATTAGCATTACTGGAAATGTAATAGAGAAGAAACAAAGCGCACTGTACAAAGTTGTTCTCAGTCACGAATCTATGAAATCTTCAAAACTAAAACGTCATTTGAGACGAGTAATTCGGAACACACCAAAAAATATATGGTATATGGAGTTTTTTCGTCGGTAAGAAGCTAGTTGCAAACTCCAGAGACTTGATCGAACAGGAAGTTTTTACCAGCAAAATGAAGTCGCGATAGAAAATGCCAAGCAAAAAAAAAAAAAAAACAATAGGAGAAAATCTCATCAAACGCTGCATGTACGTAAATGTTAAATAACACATTTTTATTGAAATTAAACTTTCACCATTGTTTTTTTTTCAAGTTGATAAATCAACAGACGTGAGTTCGTGTTCGCAGTTGCTGGTCTGTGTCTATATTAATGCGGATGATAGCAAAGAAGAGTTGCTCCTTTATGAAGATAGCATGGAGAAAATAAATACATTTTTTGAAACTGGATGATTAAAATGGGTTAGAACGGCTGTGGGGGTTTGTACGGATGGTGCGCCATCTATGTTTAGCTCAAAATCGGGCTTTCAGAAAACAGAAAATATTTAGCTCCCTAACCACTGCTCTAACCAATCGACATCAAGAGTCCATTGCTAGTATAAGTCGTAAATTATATAAAATCTGGAGCCTTCAAAGATCTGAGCAATTCATTAATATAGATCACGAGGTTCTGCTCTTCAACACTACAGTACGCTGGCTGTCAAACGAAATGTTGTAAATTGTGTTTTTGAATTGAAATCTGAAATCAAATTGTTCTTGGAAGTGCAAAGGAAACAAGACTTCTTGGTATACTTAAAACGACATAGGGTGGTTGGAGAGAGTATCATACCTAGGAGATGTGTTCGAACATCAAGATAAGCTTAACCTGAAGCTTTAGGGAAAATGAACGAATATTATAACTTTCCATGATAATCTCGGGGCATTTTTATCAAAGCTGCAAAATCGGTAAAGAAAATAAATCTTGGAAATATTGTAAATTTGAGAATCTCTGCGGTGTGGTAGATGAATCTGATTGTGAGTTAATTAAATTTTTGAAAGAAGCGATTTCTGGGCATCTTGAATCTCTTGAAAACGAACTGCATTGCTATTTCTCTGAGCTGAAAAAAGAAGAATCTGTATTTACGCATTACCCATTCTCTTCTTCCCTTAATAAATTACAAGATGAATTCTTTGATTTGCAGAATTATTCCGAGTAAGATGAAAAACCATTCATAACCAAACGTAAAATTGATTGACTTTTCGAGAATATATTTTCAACACTATTCTTCGATTAAAAACAAAATTAAGATAATTATAATGACATAGGTTGGCGTTAAGAAAAATTTTTTTTTTAATTAAAAACTTAACCACGAAGGTTTAGTGAATAGTATGCAATTTTACTAATGCTATTAAAACAGTTATCAAGAGTAGTTCATATTGAAAGTCTACTAGAAAATCTTATTTTAGTGCTTATTAATTTCCATACTAATTTTGCCTTTTTTATTCTATGGGGGTCGCGGGTCACTTACTTTTTATAAAAGGGGGTCGCCACTCGAAAAAGGTTGGGAACCACTGATTTAGACAGTCGAGCAGGAAGCTTTCTTTAGTGGTAAACACGTTTTAATTTGTATCTGTCGATCAATTATTTGTGGGACCCCCAGATTTGAGACAGTCGAGCAGAAAGCGTTTTCGTGTGGTAAACACGTTTTTATTTTCATCTGTCGATCAATTATTTGAAGGACAACCCCGAGTCTGCTCTATGAATGACGGTGCATCTTTTGTCTTAAGATATGTTCCTGACGGATTGTAAAACATCTTTTATATAAAGTAACCGTCATAACCTTTTTCTAGAGCAAGTAATTTTTTATAATTGTTAACACATTGATAACTATTGAATTGTTTACAGATTCGATTTTATGGTTAGTCAGAAAAGTTGTCTATCCTTTAAGGACATGGGCGGGTGTACTTTTCGTCATAAATCCACTAAATCATCGATTTACCACTTTTACTTGATCTATACAGAATAACCATCGTTGAATCTAAAAATGACATTATTATGACCCTAAAAACAGTATTTATTTATAAAAAAAACCGGGTTCAAAGTAGTGTGTACAGGGTAATTTGTTAATTTTTTGGTAAAAATAGCCATTTTTCGACCTAGAAAAGTACTATTGGGCTTCACGGAAACCTAATGTGTTTCATATCAATGGAAAGGCCGCCGTGACCTCCTTTCTTTATTTGTTCTAAAATTAAAAGACCAATCAAAATACTTATTTTAATGTGATTATTTTTCTACGTCATAAAGTTGTTTATTTTACTCAGTCGGGTTTTTCCGGTATGCAAATTTTTGACCTCAATTATTTCATTGGCGTTCAACGGCGGAAGCTAGTTAGCGATTGGTCGTTTCGCTTCGGAAGTAAACATTCCCTTAGTTTCAGCGCGTTGCTAAGTTTGAGCTAGTTTTGTTTCTCTAAGCTTCTGTGAAATACTTACATTATTTTAACATATAATTATTTCAATTAAATATACTATTAACAGTTTAGATTAGTTTGTGTGAATTATCATAAGCAGTGAGACGATTTAATTTGTTTCTCTTTTGATAATGGGTAGAACAAAACACTTGCTAAAAATAGATACACACAAACATCTAATTTACTAAAGCAAGGGCACGTCCGAATGCGTTGCAAGTCTCTTTTGATGTAAATAGTTACTTCGTTTATGTTATCCATTGAGATTTTTAAACATGAGAACTTTATATATCCAGTTCTTATAAAATGTTTAAAACTCTATGCATGGTGATATTAAATTTAACAAGATGGTTTCCTATTGAACTTGTGCAGTATTATTAAAATTGCATGCGCTATTTAGCTACGGGTTTGTAGTAGTTGAACGATATTTCCGAATTGCGATGAACGTATACAACATTAATCATCTAGACACCCCATTTATAAAAAAATTCAAAAAGACTAGATTTAGGCAGAACAGCAGGAATCAGTTTTGAACAGGGAGATGATATTTTATAAAAATTAACTGAATGAAAAATATTGTCAAGTTTATAAACAAATGTGTCTTTTGGCTTGTGTTCTAGATATTTGTAAAAAATGACCAACTTTTCACCGTAAACGACAGCTCCGTACAGAACTTGATCTAAACTCCACAGTTTTGCTACATGAGTGAGTCTGGTATTTCACCCGTTTCTTTCAAAACCCACAAGTTGCCGTTTGTTTGTAGCACAAAGTGGTTGTCGTCGTTACGAAAACTGATGATGTTTTAGCAGGTCCATCGAGGTTGTCCAGTTTTGTCCAACTTTTGTCCTGAAGGTCTAGCATATGGATTTCTGTTTCTTTGAAAGCAATGAAGAACAGAAGATGCATGTGGTAGCTCATAACATGTGTTGCAAAACACGCAGCTGGTAGATCTGTGAATGTAATCATGTTGGGAGAATTACCTTTCGGGTTATGTTGATATATTACATGTTTAGATACATTTGTAACATATATGTATTGTCCATTGCTTGCTAGTAATATACTTGTTCCTGGGATCTCTGCTACATGTGTCCATGTGTTATCCCCGTAAACAAACATGTCACTTGTAATCTGATTCACAAATTGTCCACCAGTAGCGTAGAGTTGCTTGTCAAAAGCAACTAGCTGGATGTTGCGACATAATCGGGGACATGACGTTAGAGTGTACCTTTTTTCATCAAGCGGATCGATCAACAAGAATTTCCCAGTACCGTTCATATAAGTGACACAAAAGCACTTGTATTTGTGAAGCTGTCTGTAGATACCTGCTGTAGGCCACTGGCCGTGACGGAAGGACATCTGCTTCACAACAGATGAGAGGATTATCTGACATGCATTATCGTTACGTTTAATGAGACGATGTTTTAAAACATTTATTAGTAAACTAGGGCTTATAATACAAGCTCGCACGTGACGCAGTAAGATGTTGAGTTTATCAAATCTATCAGTGCTAAGATTTTCTGAAGAAGTGGTTTTTGAGCTACAACACAAACTATCCGATTGTACTGAATCCTCACTCTCTGATCGATTTGATTCGTTATCATTGTTTGTTACATATATTACCTTGTTTTCACAATTAATAGTTTCAGTAACGAAGGCAGATTCAGCTTCTAAACTGTTATGATGTATATATTTCATGCTAACATTATGTAAACTATGAATTGTCTCAAATGTTTTAAACTTTTTATTGTTACCAGTGAATTTGTTTACCACTTCAGAATCTTTAGCACCATGTTTGTATTCAGCCCAGTTTAGAACCATCTCTAGTACAGTGTCTTCGCTTTTGAAATGAAGGGCGTGACTGCTAACTATAAAACACATTTCATCAAACAATAATTCTAAATAAAGTTTAGATGCATAAATAGCTTTAATGTTCTGGATCAGGAATGCTTTAACCGACGACAGCACTGATTTAGAATTAAAGAGGTTGGCAGTGGAGAAGATTTCACTGAAATTTTCCAGTTGTATGTTTTTAGTAGCGAATGTTTCACATAACTCTACAAGAAATTCAATCTTCAGCATATCTACAGCGTGCCAGATTTCTATGAAGTTGTCGAGACTCAACACGTCTTCACCGGTGTACAAAGTTTTCAGGATTAACTGGAAGGTGGAGACTGATATATCTTGTAGAACTACACGTCCCTCGTTGGCTTCTTTCATTCCAGATCTCAGCAGTCCAAGAAAAAATGGCGAACATGCTCCAAGAATGAAGCGATGGCATTTTATGGAAAAGTCGTTGATTTGAACTGTAAAGTCACAAAGTTCTCCTTCGACCCATAATTTATCAATACATTTACAAATTCTATCAGGAATTGACATGCCTGGAGCCATTCCTCAGTTTTTCTTGTTATTAATGCTTTGAAAAATAATATCTTCAGCGCGCTAAAAATTAGTAAGTTGATTGGTATATTTTCAAATCTGTAAATTTAAACAAATCTGTTAAATTTAGCATCTTTTTCAATTTTAATTTTTTACACATTGGTACCAACTTTGAATTTTCAATTTTATGGTCCTTTGGGCGTAATTAAATTAAGCTAATTACGGTCTCTAATTGCTAGTTTTTACAAGCTTTTATTTAACTCACTTCCTCGTCAGTCGTCAGTCGTCAGTCGTCAGTCTGTCTAGACGGAAACGCAGGAGTGAAAATTCGGACAGTTCTACTTGACCGACACGATTCACAGTTGGCACGTGGGTCAAGACATGAAGACAATGCATTCTGAAACTAAATTTGACTTAATTGGATGCCTAATTGATTTTTTATGAATTAATTAAAATTTGTACCGAATTAGTAGGCATGTCTAGCCAACCACACCACACGCGTCATCAATAGCTGCGCCATCACGACCACGTAATGGCTGCGTTCAAAAACAATTGCGCGCCTACTGAACGTGATATTCAGTAGGCGCGCAATGGTTTTTAGTCATGTAACTCTATTGTAGATAAAACATGTAAAGTACTGAAAAAAAATTCATAAAAAACGTTTTAATAACAAGCTTTTATGTAATCATGCACTAAAAAGTAGAAAATAAATTATAGACTACTATTTAAATAACTATAAAGAAAAGCGTGGGTGTCTTCCTTAACATTAGTAAAGGTATCCAATAGATACTAAAGTGACCCACGCTTTTCTTTATAGTTATTTAAATAGTAGTCTATAATTTATTTTCTACTTTTTAGTGCATGATTACATAAAAGCTTGTTATTAAAACGTTTTTTATGAATTTTTTTTTATGATTGCATCTGAAATTGTTAGGCGAAAGTAACCTGCATGCCAAATTTCAGATCTATAGAGCAATCAGAAGTGGGCTAATTTTCGATGTCAATTTTAACAACAAACACATCCACGCGAAGCTGAGTTAATAAAAACGTGTTAAAAAGAACTTATGTTTTTATAAAGCGCATTTGTGGTGCCGTATGAATTATAAAAATAAAATCATACATTTTTTTTTTAAATTACGTGCGCAAATATAAAGGTGAATAGATTAATTTCGTCATGTTCCTATTTAAATAATAGTTCACTATTAAATATTTAAAGAAAATCATTTACTGTTTTCCTTTTTACTTTCTTGTATATACGTAATAAAAAGAAAGTCTTGTAATCGTGCAAAAATAAACCGGGAGTGATCTCCCTTAAACTTTCTCGAATATTCTTATATAAAATAACAGGGGATGGGAACTCGGGCTATAGACATAATTTTTAATCAATTTTAAATACTTAAAGTTTTAAAAATAGAATAAAATCTATAGACAAAAGAAGTGCACACCAAGTGAACGTAAAATAAAAACGTGCATAATAGTGCGCAATATTATTAGTACTTTATAAATTTACATTAGTTTTTTGAGAAATCGGAAGTAGCGTAAATTACTACTTCCAGTCAACGGAAATTACTCAAAATTTAACAGGAGGTAGAAAATTAGATCTTTTACTTACATGTGAAATTTCATTTATCTATCTGAAATAGTACTCAAGTTATAGGCTTTTGAAAAATTCAAAGTAGAAAAAGTACCACTTCCGGTTGTCGGAAATCGCTCAAAAGTTGATACGGATCTACGATTTTGATAAAATACTTATATATGAAATTTCATCAACCTAGCTGTAACGTTACTCAAGTTATCGTGTTTACACACGGACACACACACACACACACACACACACAGACACACAGACATACGGACAAGATTGCAAAATTATGTTTTTCCGTATCAGTGAGATGCAAAACGTCGAGATTTGCAAAAATCTCGATTTTTTTTTTTGCACGATTACAAGACTTTCTCTATACTTCGTATATACGAGAAAGTAAAAACCAAGGTAATTAAAAATTCTTGTGACAATTTAAGCGCAATTTCCTTATGTTATCTAAAAATAGCTCTGGCGTAGCGTAAATTAAGAGCAGGTTTAGTAAAACCATTGGTTAGTTATTAAAACGATTTTTAATAAATTTTTTTTCAGTATTTTACATGTTTTATTTACAATAGAGTTACATGACTAAAAACCATTGCGCGCCTAGCTAACGAACGTGATGACTCAGCTATTGAACGTGATGACGCGTGTGGCGTCGTTGGATAAACATGCCTACTAATTCGGTCCAAATCTTAATAATTCGAAACAACTGTTGTGACCAAACGAAAGGATACTTTTGAAAACTTTCTTTGGCAATATTGTTCTAAATTATGGCAGGAATCGATTGGTAAATGTTTCAAGTCGCTAAGTGGTCTGGTTGCCGAGATATGGGCCAAAAACTGCATTTTTCCGAGTTTTTTTTCCGGGAAATCCATGAAAAAAAACCGGAATTTTTATGGCCTATGTTTATCCTCATAACTTGCTTAACATATTTGCTTTTGGAACTAGTCCTCGATATTGCTTCGTTGAGGAGGAGATACGACTTAAAGCTGCGGACACACATCCATCCATCCACTCCCAGAAAAGACGAGTTAATAAACGCAATTCTCCAGAATAAAAATTGCGCTAAAAATTGTAATTTTTTCAAATCTCGAAGTTTTACACCTGTCGGAGTCGGAAAAACATAATTTTGCAATCTTATCCGTATGTCTGTGTGTGTGTGTTTGGATCTGTAAACAGGATAACTTACAGCTTGGTTTATGAAATTATATATATAAGTATTTTATCAAAATCGTAGATAAGTATCAACGTTTGAGCGATTTCCGATAACCGGAAGTGGTACTTTTTCTACTTTGAATTTTTCAAAAGCATATAACTTGAGTACTAATTCAGATAGATAAATGAAATTTCACATGTAAGTAAAAGATCTAATTCTCTACATTCTGTCAAATTGTGAGTAATTTCCGTTGACCGGAAGTACTAATTTACGCTATTTCCGATTTTTCAAAAAACGCATGTAAATTTATAAAGTACTAATAATATTGCGCACTATTATACACATCTTTATTTGGCGTTCGCTTGGTGCGCAATTGTTTTTTAATGAGATTCTATTCTATTTTTAAAAGTTTAAGTATTTAAAATGGATTAAAAATCATAACTATATCCCCAGTTACCATTCCCTGTTGTTTTATATAAGAATATTCGAAAAAGTTTAGGGGAGATCACTACCGGTTTATTTATTTGGCTGTCAATTATTTGTAGGACCTAACTCGAGTTTTAACATTTTTCTATGACGGATTCTAAAACATTGTTTAATGAAGTGACCGTCTTAACCATTTTACAGAGCATGAAATGTTTTTTTAATAAGTGTTAATACATTTATTTTAAAATATTACATTGATTACTGATTTGATTGTATGCAATGTTGGACCAATAAATTGATTGCTGGTTAATAAATAATGTCTTAACATAACCGCATGTTCAGCTAGAAGGTGAATGTCAGCAAATATGAAATAAAATACTTTTAACTGTTTTTAGTTTTGTTTTTAACGTCAAAAAAGTAGTTTTTCAGTAATCAAAAATACAGAAAAGTCGTCCAACGTATTATTGATTATATGTATTATTAACGATTAATTTATTATATTAGAGTTTAGTATATTATTAGATTAAAAATGCGATTACTTTAATATTATCTAGAATGTATGAACAAACTCTATGAAAAAGGTAAAAAAAAACTAAATTTTGATGTAACAGTTATTTCATTAAAGTATTTTTGTTGGTCTATCAGCATGAGCAATTACTTGTATATTGACAAAAACGTGTGCTATTTATAATTTAAAATTAATAGAATTATCCAAAGAGACATCTATTTCCAATAGCTTTATAATCATTTATGAATATGTATTTCACACCAGATATACAGAATTTCAAGTAACAATAAGAATAAACGATAAATGCTGGTCATTGCTAGAAACGTAACGTTTTAAGGGATGAAGAGATAATTTTTTATTTTCTCTTCTCTAAGGGTCTCGTTCTTGTTTAGCCTTTTAGTAAATAAGAAATTTTATATATTTACCTATTTAAGAAATCGATAATTGAGATTTTAAAACTAATATTAAACACCTCTAGTCGAAAACCTTATAAAATGATTAAAATTCATAGTCCTATATTTTCCATTAAAAATATTCTGTTTACTCCATAATTATTTTCCAATTATATAATTACCCTAAATTACGGTTTAAAAAAGTTTAATTCTTAAAGACATTGTGCTCTTCTTCTTTATTGTTCTTAATAGCATCGTTGGACAGGATTTCCTCCAAAGAAATTAAAAATTACGTTACAACTTGTTCTGCGTCATATAGGAAGTTGCCTTCAGCCTGCTTTTCTTTTGAATTTGCTTACATAGAAAATTTCAATGCAGCAGCTGTTTGATATTAGAGTTATCTCTCCTAGAAGAGTTGCTGTCCCCAGTTCTCGAGCCTCATCCATTAAATCGCATTTTCTCTGATTATAAAATACATTTTACATTTTGAGAAAATCAATATCTCACAATCCTATTTAAATATAATAAAAGAACTAAATGTAAATTTCAAACAAGCGTTTATTAACTATCTCAGTTCATGTATTGAATAAATATGTTAAGCATTACAAGTTGTAAATCAATAAAAATGTGAGGAAATCTATATTCTCCAAACGTAATGTAGCATTGAATTATAAATTTTAAAAAAAGAAAAATTAAAGTAACTTTAGACACAATCATCGTATCTTGTCGATGAATTTTGTGTTTTTTTTGTTTCATAATAAATATATGATTACCACTTTGTAGTAGATTCAACAATAAATAATGCCAGTATGTTTCAAGTATATTCATGCCTTTATATATGGCTACCGCCATTTTGTAAATGCGCAACCTATAGTATTAATTAATCTAATTGTGTTACCCACGTGTAAAAATTCGTTTCTCAGTTAAAGCAAACTGACATGGAGAAAATCTAGCTTTAGATAACTAAATCAGGTTATGACATTTTGGAAACAACAGACCTTATATTTCAATGTAGCTATCTACTGTAATTTAAACATACCTTATTTAAATAAATAAACATAAAGTTTAGTACTTTAAGGTAAATGTCATTTTCGACGTGACTTATAATTTGTAAACTTGCATCATGGACATTATGGGTGCTTTTATGTCGCAACATGTAAACCATGAATGAAAATACCAATGATATATTTAATGATTATATAATTATTTTTTGAAAATGTAATTTTGATTTTGAAAAAAAGGCATTTAATGAGGAAATGTAATGATGATCTCTACATCATCCATGTGAAAACTGAATTATATGTGATGAGATACAATATTGTGGATATGCAGATCAGTATGTTACATATAAATTAAAAAGAAGCTAATGAATTTTCAGCATTGTAATTGGAATCATATTAGAGCATTGGTTATTATTTCTCCAGTAATGAACGCTTTGAATGTGTTCTGGGACCGTACACTCTCTAAAGTCTCCTGCTTGCTCGTGTTTCAGGAAATTTCCCAAAACGTGAAGTTTACCAATATAGGTATAAGCGCCGTATAACTTCTTTTGTAAACTCCAAAGTTTGAAAACAAAGTTGAGCTTAATGTTGAGACTGCAATGTTCATTAAAAATACACCACAAACTGCCATTGCTTTGTATAACATAGCTGTGTTTGTCATTCTTAAAACTTATTATGTGTTCTGCCGATCCATCTAAATTGTCTAATTTGGTCCAAATTTTGGACGAAATATCCAATTTACGGACAGCTGTCACAAAATTCCCGTTTTGAGTTTCAGAACAAAATATTAAAAAATATTTTTCATAAATCATTGCGTGTTTTGCTTCAACATTTTCTGGAAAATCTGTAAACTTTTCTACAATTGGAATTTTTTTCTTTGGGTTTACCCTATGAATAACTTTATCGTCTTTGTTAAAGATGTAAATATATTGTTCATATGAGAGCAACAGCAAATTCTGGCAGGGCATTTTTACAACTTCCACCCATCTTTTATCACAGAAGACAAAAAGTTTACACGGTTCGTTTGGTTGGTTTTGTTGTTTCCCTGCAGCGTAGAGTTCACTATCAAAAGAGACGAGCTGAATGTTTTCTTGTAAATATTCACATTTTGAAATATTAAACCATTTGTGCTCGAATATATTTAATACTCTAAAGGAACCACAATGCTCTTCAAACACTGCAGAGTTTATGTATTCACTGCATGCTCTGTGTACGGCAGCTTCTGGCCACTGACCGTGTCTAAAGTTTTGGACATAATGACTTGCATTAAACATGATATCTTTTAAGACATTGTTTTCATATATCATTTCCATTTTATAGACACGAGCTAAAACAGCCGGGCTCACAAGACATGTCCTCACTAGCTTTACAAGTTCTGGAAGGTGTTGCTTTCTTTCTAAATGATAATCATTTTTTTCAAGAATGTTTTCACAAATTGTATCTTTGTTATCATTTGTTTCTGCTGTAATCGGGTTTATGTCTTTGAAAGAGTCGTGTTTCAGTTCGTCAAGAACTTCAGTAATCTCGCCTTGTTTTTTCGCAACCACTGCCGTTTCTGTTACCCTATTGTTTCGGTTCGGCTCAGAGTTACAATGTGCAGACAGGCAATCGTACATGTAGAGTTCATGATAAGGAACTTGTTTGACCCACCTTATAACTGATTCAAGCACAACATCTTCACAGACGACGTTAAGTTCTGGACTTTTGATCAAACCCCTGACTTCATTGAAAGACAGCTGTAGAAATGTCGCTGAAAGACATACTGGATCAAAGTTTTTTAACAAGAATAAGTGAAGCTGTTGAATAACCTTTTCTGAATCAAACATTTTTGCATTACTATAAATATTTTCCCAAGTGTCTAGTTTGATTGCCTCAATAGCAAAGTTCTCACACAAATCAATCATGAATGTTATCTGTAAGCGATTTACTGCTCGCCAAACTTCAAAAAGATTTTCTAAAGTTAAAATATTTTCACCTGTGTATATTGTTTTTAAAACTAATTGAAACCCCTCATAAGAAACATCGTGTAGAACAACACAGTTCTCTGTGACTTCCCTCATACCAGAACGAAAAAGTCCTTTAAAAAATTCAGAACACGCCGCTAGGATGAGACGATGACACTGAACTGTTTCGTTTGCGATCTTGACGGCAAAGTCAAACAACATTTTGTCAGTCCACACATCCTGCAGACACTTGACGATTTGAGTACAGACTTCTGGGGTTGTCATGATGTAAGCAAACTTGTAACAGATTTTAAAATACCTACCAGAGTAAAAAAAAATCAAAACCATAAAAACTTTTTTGTATAAACATAAACACATACGTGCACACACATACACACGCATGTATAATATATATATATATATATATATATATATATATATATATATATATATTGATTATGTAATCTTATTCACAGTTATCTTTATCAGAATCACCTGCCCCTTTTACAGTTCTAGTTAAACTGAATGATGAAAGTTGTGAGGGTCTGAGCTATTCATAGTTTGCATCGATTGAATTATATTCACCAAAGACCATTCACAAATATTTTGTTTTTATACATACCATATGCTATATGGCTTTATAAACCCAGTTTTGGTTCAATATTTCGTTACATTTCCAAATAATGCTTGTCTCAAAGATTATTAGACGTTGAAAGTGATCGCTCTACATGCTCCATGCTATGATATGCCTCTAAGTTATCCAAGTTATAAACTCATACGCTTCTACTTACCTTATGTAAATATTTATAGACCTATCTGTAGTTGGTAAGGACTTGAAAGTATACACGGCTTTCAAAATAATAGTGAATAAAACCAATACAGATTTAACGTAACCTTTTTGCTTACAACTTCGTACTAAATGGTGAAATTTTGCTCTATTTCGAAATAATAATTATAGTATACAGCAACTATTTATTTTATAATACGTATTTTCTCAGCTCTATTCGGAGTCCTTTCTAATAGATCTACACTTTCACAAAATTCGCATGCACCTAATGAAAATACTTAAAATTTAAAAGGTTCTAATATACTGCATGATCGGAAGTAAACGTGTAAAATAAACGCACTTCAATGGTGCAAAAGTTGTTGTGGCCCTATTTCAATTTTTTTTCAAGTGCGCAATTACAGTGCGCTATTACATTCTTCCGACTCCGGTCATACCCGAAGCATATACTCCAGTCAGCACTACACCGCGTAAGGCCATACCCGGAGCATATACTACAGTCAGCACTACACCGCATAAGGCCATACCCGGAGCATATACTCCAGTCAGCACTACACCGCATAAGGCCATACCCGGAGCATATACTCCAGTCATAAATTCACCGCATAAGAACTGTTGACCACCTCTCCTTTCTAAAATTTCTAAAACAAAAGTCATTTAAAACTTAACACGTCTTACCCTACCATCCTCATTCAGTTTAGGCTGAAAAACTTTATTATAAAAAATTACTCTATCCTTAAGTCAGACCTCCACTTAGGCCATTTATTTTAACAGAATGCTTTGGTTGTTTTTAGAAGGGAATGCAATTTTAGAGACGTTTTAGTCCGGAGCCACCTGCCACCCAAAATCACCACCATGCTTGGCCCCACTCCTTGTTCCTGCAAATGCAATAACAGATTTCACCCTTCAGACTGAAGCATTCCAACTGCCTCAGAATTAAAAAATCAATTAAACTGTGAGTCTCGTCACGTAGTTTATGTCATCCAGTATGGCGATATAACATCTTATATATTGGACAAACGGGGAAACGATTGTCTGTCAGGGTCAAACAATACATACGATCAATAAACACAGAAGTTAGTCTTCCTGTGGCCAAACACTTTAATATGAGTGGGCTTGACAAAAAGACCGAGTTGTGTGTAACCGCTGGTCGGTTTTGACATAATTTAAAAAAAAACAGACTGAACACGGAAACGCGACTCATACTTAGATTTGTGACACGGGCACCGGATGGTTTAAGAACAAGTATCTTTCACTTAACCCCATCCACATCCCAACATCACGCCTCCAACCCCTATACGGCAACCAAGCGTTCTTTTTCAAGGGTCTTTTTTTTTTGGATATCGTGGCATTTAGACAAGTCGTGTTTTCACTTTCGAGCTAAGTCCAAAAATGTGTTACTGTGTGTGTTTTTTGTCCTATCTGTAACCGCACTGTTGTGTGCTGACAAAGACCTTGGGTCGAAACGTCCATAGTATTTGTAATTGTCTTTAACTTCTGAGATTACTAACGCTTACTGTTTTATTACTAAATTCTTTAACCTCACTGCAGCTACCATTTGTATTTATCTTAATGAAAATCAAGGCATTAAAGTAAAAACAACATTACGTAATCTGAATCTACAAATCTCCACCCTTCATGGTAACTGTACTCTGGCAAATCGAACAATCCCCACAGTACATTAAATAACCTATCCTAAAAATTGTTTATCCAAACTATTATGAGATAAACAACCAATGCTGATATTTTTCATTGCACCTGTCAGATGGAAAATAGACGCAATAACAACGTAGATCTAGATAGAATTATCTAGATCTAGATTCTACGACTCGTTTGCTTAAGTTTTTGCGTAACTCTAATCATTAGACATATTCTAGCTAGATAGATCGATTATTGTAAAACTAAATGAAAAAGACAGTTGAAAATTTATATAAGTGTTGGAACGTAATAAAAACAGCAAACGGACGTATTGTTAAAGTTATGGCCGACAGAAAATTAGCTTTAGAACGCGTTAAACTTTTGAATGGGCCTATGATTCTGTATAATGGAAGCCGCCATCTTATTGTACTAAAAATCAGGGGCGTCACTATTCAGTCAACGTTAAGCCTTTGTTCTAAAACTTTAAAATTAACTATGAATAAATCAATAAATTAATTAACGTCTTTAAATAAATGTGTGATTAACAGTCTGTCTGAAAACAAAATTTTTTCTCTACCTACATACTATTTTACAGCTCACCACCTAGCGCCCATTTTCTAGAGTATTCGATCGGACAAAAAACAAAAAAATAAATAAATAAATATTCAAACATGTAAACAAACTTGAGTTTTAGTAATATATAGATGTATTGAAATTGTGCAAAAAGATTTTGAAAAATGTTTTATAACTTTCCGGAGCCTTAAAAACTTAGTTATGCAACCCTGTCAAACTGTCTGTCTGTATGTTTGTGTGTATGTAAACACTATAACTTAAGTACCGAAATTTTATATATAGTCATGTATTATATCAAATTTGTATAATTTCCATTCAGCTTTTGTGATGACGCGCTGTTGAAAGTGATGACGCGTGTGGAGTAGTTGGATAGGTCTGCCTACTAATTTAATCAAATTTTAATTAATTGACCAATTAAGTCAAATTTAATGTCATGGTGCATTGTCTTCATGTCTTTACCCACGTACCAATTATGAACAGTAACTGTCAGTTAGAAGTGCCTGCAATCTCGCTCGGTCGTTTGCATCTAGACAGACAGACGACTGGCGACAGAGGAAGTGAGTTAAATATAAGCTTGTAATAAAAGCTTGTTAAATGTGGGTTTTTTTACAAGCTTTTATTTAACTCACTTCCTCTGTCGTCAGTCTTCAGTGTTTGAAGTAAAGTCCTACTTAATCTAAGGAAAAATTGCATCTACTATTACTAATAAAATTATATCCTAATTAAATTGCTAATTATGGGTCGTCTATAAATGACGTCACATTAGAAGGGGGGAGAGGGGTTCGTAATTTTGTGACGGTGTGTGATGTAGGGGACGGAGGGACGTGAGATGGTGTGGCGTCACACTTTTTAATTATAAAAGAGCAATTATAGAAAACGAGTTTTAGCCGTTATTTTGCGTTTTAGAAAACAGATTTAATAAATTGTAATAGAATTTGATTAAAATACTCTATTTGGAGTTTTTAGAAAAATATCGTTTTTTAAGAAAAATTCAACTGCGATTTTGAGGGCGGTTGTCCGCTTAGGTGTGACGTCATTTTATGGGGGAGGAGTCTGGCTTTTTTGTGACTATGTGTGACGGAGCATACTAGTCTTAAAATAGTGAGACTGTTACAATAAAATTATGCATTTTTTAAAACTTGAATCGAACTGATAACGTCCACCTTTAGTAATTTTGTTAATCTTGGCTCACCCTGTACCTTATGTTCATTTTATTACTAGACTCAATGGACGTTTCTGCTTTAAATAAACAATTCAATTAGTACAAAAAAATTATCCTTAACACAAGAATAAGAAGTTGAGTGCAATTGATGTTTCCCAAAAGAAAACATTGAAAGATTATAAAGAAATTAACACACTTTTGAAACAAATTGTGCTATCATCCATTGCCTGTAACTTATATCACAACGTAGGGGTTATGTATAGCTTAAAAGTTTAAGCATCTTTTTTTTCGAAAAAAAACACGCGAAACATTCCCAGAATGCTTAGTAATCTCATGCAGCAAATTTCAAGAATGTTTTACATTTGCGTTTTTGACAAACTTAACTTCCACTGCTATATCCCGATTTAACTGTCTTGATTTTCATGTAATTATTTGTTAGATAAGAGATAGTTTTGGGGCGATCAGTACAGATTAATTATATATTTGTTTTAAAACATTTCCTAAACATTTTACATCAATCCGAATAAAATAAGCAACACGAGTATACAAAATATGTTTAATAGTACAATTTTGATGAACACCTATATTCTTATCAGTGTTCTAATTGATTTTATTGAAGTCAAAATCAACTTATTTTACTTATAAATGTATGTTAATAGAAAAACTTTAAATATTATTATATGCAACTTTACATCAATTACTCACTTAGATACCATTGCTTGTCCTTAATTTTTGGTTTCCTGCATTGCAAGTCTATTTTGAAGTAAATAGTTACTTCGTTATGGTATCCGTTGAGACTTTTTAACATGAGCACTATATGTATACATTTCATATAAAAGGTGTAAAACTGTATGCACGGTGATATTATTTAACAAGATGGTTTCCTATTGAGCCTGTGCCGTATTATTAAAACTGCATGCGTTATTAAGCTACGGGTTTGTAATAGTTGAACAATATTACTGAATTGTGATGCACGTGTAAAACATTATAAATCATTGTTCTAGACATCCCATTTATATAAAAATTCTATAAGACTAGATTTGGGCAGAACAACAGGAATCAGTTTTGAACAGGGAGATGATATTTATAATAACTAACTGAATGAAAAACATTGTCAACTTTATGAACAAATGTGTCTTTCAGCCAGTGTTCTAGATATTTGTAAAAGATGACTAATTTTTCTCTGTAAAAGATAGCTCCATACAGAACGTTGTCAAAATTCCACAGTTTTGCGACACGAGTGAATCTGATGTTTTCACTGGTTTCTTTCAAAGTCCACAAGTTTCCGTTTGTTTGTAGCACAAAGTGGTTTTCGTCGTTACGAAAACTGATGATTTCTTTAGCTGGTCCATCAAGGTTGTCCAGTCTTGTCCAGCTCTTGGCCTGAATGTCTAGCATATGAATTTCTGTTTCGTCGAAACCATTAAAGAATAGAAGATACATTTGGTAGCTCATGACATTCATTGCAAAACATGCAGCTGGTAGATCTGTGAAACTAATCATGTTAGTAGGGTTACATTTCGGGTTTATTCGATATATTACTTTTTCAAATACACTTGTAGCGTATATGTATTGTCCATTGCTTGCTAGTAATATACTTGTTCCTGGGATCTCTACTACATGTGTCCATGATTTATCCCTGTAAACAAACATGTTTCTTGTAATCTGATTTACAAATTTTCCACCAGTGGCGTAGAGCTCCTTGTCAAAAGAAACTAGCTGGATATTGCGACATAATCGGGGACATGACGTTAGAGTGTACCTTTTTTCATCAAGCGGATCGATTAACATGAATTTCCCTTTACCGTTCATACTAGTGACGCAAAAGTTGCCATACTCGTGAAACGGTCTGAAGATACCAGCTGTAGGCCACTGTCCGTGATGAAAAGAAGTCTGATTTACAATAGCCGAGGCGATGATCTGTCGAGCTTTACCGTTTCGCTTAATAAGACGATGCTCTAAAACATTCATAAGTAACTCTGGGCTTATTATACACGTTCGTACTTGACTCAGTAGGATGTCAAGTTTATCAAATCTATCACGACTAACATTTTCTGAAGAAGTGGTTTTTGAGCTACAACACAAACTATCCGATTGTACTGAAACCTCCCTCTCTGATCGATTTGATTCTTTATCATTGTGAGTTACATCTATTGGCTTGTTTTCACAATTAATAGATTCATGCTAACATTATGTAAACTATTAACTGGCTCTAATGTTTTGAACTTTTTATTGTTGCAGTTGCAGTTGCTTACCGTTTCAGAAACTGTAACAACATGTTTGTATTCAGTGCTGAAATGAAGGGCATGACTGCTAACTATAAAACACATTTCATCAAACGATAATTCTAAAGACAGTGTATCTGTATAAATAGCTTCAATGTTCTGGATCATGAACGTTTTAACTGACGACAGCACTAATTTAGAAGTAAAGAGGTTGGCAGTGGAAAAGATTTCACTGAAATTCTTCAGTTTTATGTTTTTAGTAGCGAATGTTTCACATAATTCTACAAGAAATCCAATTTGCAGCATGTCCACAGAGTGCCAGATTTCTATGAAGTTGTCAAGACTCAACATGTCTTCTCGGGTGTATATAATTTTCAAGATTAACTGAAAAATGAAGGCTGATATATCTTGTAGAACTACACGTCCCTCGTTGGCTTCTTTCATTCCAGATCTCAGCAGACCAAGAAAAAATGGCGAACACGCTCCGAGAATGACGCGATAACATTTAAAGGAAACGTCATTGATTTGAACTGTAAAGTCAAAAAGCTCTTCATCTGCCCATAATTTATCAAGACATTTACACAATTTATCAGAGATTGTCATTCTTAGAGCCATACCTAAGTTTTTCTTGTTATTTATACTTTGAAAACTAAAGTTAATTCGTTGATTTATACATTTTCAAATCTGTTAATCTTAGCATCATTGGATATTTGTAAAACAAATATTAGGCGCTTACGAAAACTCATAAGTTTAATATTTAAAACAAAGTATAAAATATGATATAATATAATACGCCAAATGCAAAAAGCGAAATATGAAATACGACATTAGAAATATATTAACAGACTTAATTTTTTCCATATTGCTGTTTTGGTGGTCATACAAGATATAACTTTTAAAATGACATATTATTTGCTGTGTATAGCCATGCTATTGCCGAGTTAATGTTTAATTTTAAAATTTTGCTTAATTAAAAAAACAAACAAGTAATTAAAAAAGTCTAGTGACAATTTTAGCGCAATTTCCTTATGTTATCTAAAAATAGCTCTGTCGTAGCGTAAATCAAGAGCAGGGTTAGTAAAACCATTGGTTAGTTATTAAAACGTTTTTTATTTTTAAAAAATCAGTATTTTACATGTTTTATTTACAGTAGAGTAACATGACTAAAAACCATTGCGCGCCTAGCTACCGAACGTGATGTCGCAGCCATTGACGTGATGGCGCAGCTATTGAACGTGATGACGCGTGTGGTGTGGTTTGATAAAATGCCTACTAATTCGGTCCAAATTTTAATTAATTAAAAAAACTTTTTGTGACCGAGCGAAAGGATATTTTTGAAAACTTTCTTCGGCAATATTGTTCTAAATTATGGCAGAAATCGATTGGTACATGTTTCAAGTCGCTAAGTGGTCTGGTTGCCGAGATATGGGCCAAAAACTGCATTTTTTTTTTAGTTTTTTTTGCTTTTCCGGGAAATCCATGAAAGAAACCCGGAATTTTTATGGCCTATGTTCATCCTGGTAACTTGCTTAACATAATTGCTTTTGGAACTAGTCATCGATATTGCTTCGTTGAGGAGGAGATACGACTTAAAGCCCGGACACACATTCCCAGAAAAGACGAGTTAATAAACGCAATTCTCCAGAATGGAAATTGCGCTAAAAACAATGAGTTTCAAATGTAACACCATTTTGTAGATTATAGGAATCATTTTTCTATATTTCAGTTTTTTTAAATGCATAGTATGTAGCTGGGATTATCCAACGTTAAAAGAACTTAAAAATTCGTGTCTAATAAGGGCACTATTTGATAATGTAAGAATTCATGGTTAAGCAAGTTCAACGATATGGTCAGGATTAGGATCAGATTATGTATCCATTTTAGCGTTAATGCAAAGTATATTGCTTATATAGTTCATAAGCCTTAATACCACTTAAACACATTTAAAATTTATCCTTTATACTTGGTGGTCTGTATGGCAGATGAAGTAGAGTTTAACTGTTTCTTTGACCTCGGCTTATAAGGCAATACTATAGTAGAACTCTGTCAGGCTGCCTTACTTTTTCTATCGTAATTCAGGTAGGCATCAGAGTTGGTTGTAATCTGGGACGTTCTATGAACTCGAGCCCGAAAATAGAGCCCTAAGCTTTGGCATTAGCAACCGTACGCTGTACCATTAAACAACTCGTGAGGACTTTTAATCATTAATGGAAACCCTAAACCTAAACTAAATGACGTATAAGTCTAAACTTAAGACTTAAGTTTAATTAATTGTATTGGTCATTTTACCCGAGGCTACAGTACTTTGTATTAATCTTCGCTGTTAATCTTAGTTATCATAAACCTTACTCATAAATGATAGATTCTATATTCTAGACGATAATTTGGTGTCTTTAAGAAGTTGTTAGGCCAGAAGTTTTAAAAAGTGATTTTATGATTTTAAAAGCGCTTTCGTGGTGCCGTATAAATAATTAAAAATAATTTATTTTTAAAAATTACGTGCGCAAATTTATAGGTAAATAAGCTATATGTCGTCCAGTATTATGTTTGTATTTAAGTAGTAGTTTATTATTAAATATCTAAAGAAAATCATTTATTTGTCTTATTTTTAGTTTATTATTATATAATAGATTTTTATTTTTAAAAATTGTATGCAATTTTTCTTTGATTTGGCAGCAAAATAATTTGTAGGACCTAACTCGAGTCTGCCCTATGCATGATTGTATTTCTTATGTTTTAACATTCATTTATGGCGGATTGTAAAACACTGTTTTATTTAGTTACCGTCATAATCATTTTCTAGAACATGAAATGTTTTTGTTATAGTTGTTAATACATGTATTATAACATATTAATTTGATTACAGATATGATTTTATGCAATGTTAGACTGGTTTTCTATCCGTAAATATGACTGTTATACGAGTATAAATACCGATAAATTGCTGGTTAAACTTTTGTTTAACATTAAGGAAAGTTAAACTAGAAGGTAAATGTCATCAAATTTGAAAATAATAATTTTAACTCTTTTTAGATATGTTTTTAACGTCAAAAAATTATTTTTAAGAAATCAAAAATACCGTAAAGTACTTCTTTCGGTCACCGGTAATCACTGAAAGTTTGAAATAATTAGGGTAATAAGTTCTTATACCTATGTACAAAATTTCGTTTACCTGAATGAAACGGTACTTATGTTATCGGTTCTTTAGAACCAGGCAAAAGAGAAAAGTACCACTTCCTGATATCAGAAGTCTATACCATTTTTTAGTGATCCAAGTATAAAAACTCTTATTTATAAATTAAATTTCGACTAACTGAAACAATAATAAGGTTATGGTGTTTCCACTGACATTAAGTAAAATGCTACTTTCGAATACCTGAAATTGTTAAGAAGTTAAAAGAAACATTTTCGTAAAATTTTATATTTGCATTTAAAACGCGGTTTGCATAACTAAAATTATACTGAAGTTATAGGCTTTCAAGAAACCGGGAGTAGAATAAGAACCACTTCCGTTTATCAGAAACCAATTAAAAGTTGAGAGAAACGACACATATTTATGTAATACTATTTGGGGAATTTCGTTGAAGCAACTGAAATAGTAGTCAAGGTATCGTGTTTACATACACACATACATACGGACAGGATTGGATAACATTTGGAAGGTTATAAATATGAAAAAGCTTCAAAATCTCGTTTAGATTTTTACATGATTACATTACAGTATTTATATTTGCCATACGAGTAAGTTGGGGGAGGAGTGTAAACTGCGAGAACTTGAAATCTCATCTAATTTTTGTGCACAATTTCAATACTTCCTCTATATTATTTTCGAGAAAGAAAAATCTGAATGGTTATTAACAATGCGATGAGCTATTTTATTAGATTGTAAAATGTATACGCTTAAATCTAGAAATTTATTTTATAAACGATAGAAAACCTGTAGGGTATATAATTTATGAAGTTCACTCTACACTCCTTATTATCTATACCGTTAACGTCCAAGACACAGCGTGAGTTTAATACCCCTTCGGGGCTGGGTGGACTCAAGGGCGCCCTACAGACTCACGCCCGGAATCTAGAATGTATGAACAAAATCTTTTAAAAGGGTAAAAACTAAATTTTGAAGTAACAATGATTTTATTAAAGTTTGTGTTGTTTTTCCTGCGTGATCAAATGATTTTATATTAACCTATATGTGTGATATCTACAATATAAATATAGCACATTATACAAAACAGAAATATATCCAATATCGTTATAATCATGTATGAATTATTATAATTTGATAAATGCTTGTCATTACTAGAAACTTAACGTTTGAGGGGATGAGAAGAAAAAGTTTTTTGTTCTCTTTAAGGGTCTCCTTCTTGTTTAACCTTTTTAGTATGTGAGACATTGTATGTATTTTAACCTAATTAAGAAATTGATAATTGGCATTTTTAAGTTAATATTAAACACCACTGGAAGCTCCGTAAATTTTACTAACTAATTAAATTTTGTAGCCCCAATTTTCGTTAAAATTAAATTTTGTAGCCCCAATTTTCGTTAAATATATTCTGTTTTTTTCACCACAGTTATTTTCCAATTATATAAATCCCTGCGTTAAGATACAAAAAAAATAATTTAAGACATTATGCTCTTCTTCTTCTTTGTTATTAATTGTAATGTTGAACGGGATTTCCTCAAACATAATTAAATTATTACTTGTCATCTTGGTATGCGCCTGATAGGCCATTGACTTCGATTTCAGCCTGCTTTTCTTTTTGGATTTGCTTAGATAGCAAAAAACGAGGAAGCAGATGTTTGATTTTGTAGTTGTCTCCCCTGTAAGAGATGTTTTCCCAGGCTCTTTAGCCTTATCTGCCAGGGGTTCGAACTCCAGACTCTTCGGTATAACAAACATGAACTTTACCCACACGACTTCGCCAACCACCAATATTGTGTTAATTACTTAAAAATCTCAGTTAAAATATATCTAAACAATGAAGATAAACTGTTTTTTTAAAACAATTCAGTTACAAAAAGTAAGTTGAATTCTACTCACGAACTTAATAATATTAATGGAAGTGTATAAAACATAAATTTAAATTGCCTTTTCTCTGATAATTTTTTTTTTAATTTTGATAAATTAAATATCTTACAATTCTATTAATAAAGAAATAAAAGAACTAAATGTAAATTTTGAATAAGTGTTTATTAAATATCTTAGTGCATGTATTAAAAAATATGAACTATAGTATGCACCGAAAGTTGTAAAAAAAAAACAAATGTGAGGAAATCTATATTATCAAAAGAATGTGTATAAATACAGCATATACATGTAGAAACATATAACTATATATAATGTTGGATCTGTTTTCCCAAAAATAAATTAGCATTGTATTATAAGTTTAAAAAAAAAAGAAAATTCAAAGTAAGTTTAGGCTCAACCATCGTATCTAGTCAAGAAATACTGTGGGTTTTTTTGTTTCATATTAAATATATGATTAACACTTTGTAGTAGGTTCAACAATAAATATTGCTAGTGTACTTCAAGAATATATATATATATATATATATATATATATATATATGTCTTTAAATCTGTCTACATGCCATTTTGAAAATGGTCATCC